GGTGGAACATTCTCATGCAGAGAACATCAGAAATGGCTTCATAATCTGTTGTTTTTTTACGTGTGTAACGTTATAAAACACTGTTGACATGGTTATATTGATCATTGTACTGCATAGACTTTTTTCTAACAAATGTGTGTTTGCAGTCTCGTTTCCCTCTAAAATGTAATAAATGTGTCTGCAGAGTCCAAAAGTGCTTTGATAAACTGCAGAGTCTGTGAAATGATCAGTAATCGGTTCATTACTGATCAATAATTACTGAAAGACATCGGGCAAAGTAAGAAAAGTAGATTTTTGTGTTGTGCTGCAGCAGCAGCTGCTCAAACTGACTGACAGGATGAACTGTTTGGAACCACTGAGAGCTGCATGAACCACGTGACGAGTATCTGCGAGTTCAAAGAGCGTCACATCTCTGCGTGTGGCGCTGGTCTTACCTTCTCATAGTGGATCAACTAGTTTATTGTTGATGTCCAGAACTACCGTAGTTGTTCACATGATAAAGGAGGACCATCAGCCTAATGATCAATCATTAGCACCCTGATGGCTGCTTGCTATTCACAGAGGTCTGAGCGATAATAACAGCGTTGTAGGAGGGGGACAGTTGGACACAGATAGTGACCATCAGGGCACTAACGATCGGTCATTAGGTTGATGGTACTCCTTTATCATGTGAACAGTTCTGGATGTCACCATCAAACTGGTTGATCCACTATGAGAAGATGCTGTTTTTAAGACTGAGTTCGTTGCAGCTCCTCTGACTGAAGAAGTGTTTTGGACAAAAGATGACGTGTTTTAACAAGAAGAATCTGTCCTGAGGACCTGACTTTACTTTGTTAGAATTTGAAAAAAGTTCTCATTTTCAACCACTTTATTCATTTATTACCATAAACAAATAAGAAATGCTGCGTAAAGACTGCAGTTTGTGGTTGTTTTGAAGGTGTGTTGACATGGTGAAGAGTTCTCAGTATGTTGAGCTTGCCAATGATCTGGAGATCAACAAAGCCATCACGTATCTGAGACAGAGAAACTTCAACCAGGTGAGTGTGCTGCAGCATGATGGGTGATGCCATTCAGTTGAACATTTTACCTCCTTTGGTCTGTGTAGTTAGAAGCTGCAGTAGTAGCAGTGGAGGGTCGAGGACAAACGTCGACCTGCAGCCGTTATATTTCTGTCAGATGTTTCTGCAGGTCTGAAACTGACACATCATACCAGCTCACCAGTCATCACGCAGAGCACACTGCATCCTAAACCACATCTCATTTGTAGATTAGTGACAGAAACATTTTCAAACTAAAAATATGTTACCTACATGTTTTTGTTGTCTTTTTCCATCTTTTGTCAACTAGTCATCATATATATTTGTTACATTTTTCCTGATGAAGCTGCTCGATCAGAGCAGCATCAGACTCAACATTTTCCCTTCTCATTGCCCTTCCCTCTCTCTCCCATTTATTCCCCATCTGCATGCGTAAGGTTGAGGTATGTTGGCTTTCTATTTCCACAATCACATTTAGATTGTGCTGTCTTCTTGCCTTAAACATGTTATGTAAGTTTACCATTTTTTTAAGCATGGCACTGCCAAGAAAAGCGAACAAGATAGTGGTTTAAAACCCATAGAAGGATTCTTTTTGGGCAGAAAGGAAATTATTCAGCAATAATAAACACCGAGTTCTGAGCTGTGCTTGAGGAGCTGCTCTAATACTGTGGGATTCATGAGTCAAAAGTCAAAGTTTCTTTATTTGTCTGGAGATCAACAAACTTTATTTATAAATTATGTACACAGGGTCCCAGTTACATCCAAGAAAAGTATAAATTGTAAAGAAAAACAGTAATCAGCTCTAAGATATGAACTAAGGAATACACTAAATAAGAATACACTAAGCACTAGTTTATATATACTGTATAT